AGTGGACTCCTTTGATGTGCAGTAGTTGTGCCGGACATGACGAAATTGTGCTATTACTGCTCGACAACAACGCGAACAGAAAGGCCACCGATATAAATAGGAGAAATGCTTACGATTTGGCGCGCATTAGTGGACAAGAACACATATGTCATCTTCTTCTTAATTATCAAAATAAAGATATTGGTGATATAAAATACAATATGATGAAACCACGTACAAGATCAGAAGTGCACAGAGATGAGTGCCATATGTGTTATAGGTGTCACAAACAATACAAAGGGTGTTATATGGAACACGTTTGTTCGATTGTTGTGACACAAGCCTAGAATCTTATAAATCACGATATTCATACTTAAGTGTGGTTAAAAATTGTTGTGAAATGGAAAACATTAAAGCATATAATTATCACTTTATTGCTATTAAACAAACTAAAATTACTAATTATTTAAAATAATTGTAATTATTCATAAATAATTTCAAATATTAATCAAAAATTAGACATTATTACTCAAAAATTTCTTGAATGAACCTTACTTATAATAAACATTTTTGCCGTGCAACTGACCGTTCACTATAAAAAAGTTGTACCATTATAAATTATTATTACTTAACAATTTAAATTTGGCAGATTTTGAATTAAATTTGTTCGAATCATGTATTTGATCACCAAATTTTGGATATTGTTAAACGTATGTATAAAATTATAAAAATTATATTATACATGATTAAATTATATTTTGTTTTGCTATAAAGTTATGGCTGTTAAGTCCGGATTTTAAATTCATAAGTGGCTACAAAGATTGCATCATACGGATTAATGAACTTAATCCAAATGCACCACATAAATGTAATCACATTTATAATAAACTAGTTAAATAAAAATTAATTAAATTCATTATTTAAAGTGGAGCGTGGTGAATTTATTGAGTTAACTCGTTTCTGTGATAGTGATGACAAAAGCCAAATTACCTCTTTAAAAGGATACTCCATTGTCTTAATAGATCACTCGATTAAACAAAGTAATATCTTAATAATTGTATATATATGATTATGTATTTTTACATTTTATAGAAATGCCAATAATTACACTAGTAATTGATTTGGATGACGAATATTTTAATGGCACTGATTATTACGTTATTGGTGGATCAGATGTTGATGTTGCCAATTTAAAATTTCCCAGTTCTACAATTCAATTCAGGCATAATCTGCTAACAAAAAGCGAATCAAACATGCTTACAAATGGTGACGTTTATCCAGTTGGACTCGCATTATTGTATGGAGAGAATTCGTTTAAACTGTCTAAACATTTGCCAGAAATATACGTACGCAATAATATTAAAGAAATATTAAAGAAAACAACAATTGATATGGTTTGCTATGGTCGACGAGCACATGCGAATAAATGTACTATTTTCGAAGAAATTCATGAACCGTTTAAAGACATTGATGCTTATATATTGAGAGATTACGATGCAGGTGCGCACTTATATATATATATATAAATATATGCTATTAAACAATATTATAACAATTATTTATTTAGTTGATTCAAGAGATCTATCGATAAATAGATGTGGGGTGTCTAATGAGGCTTTTATTCCAAACGAATTTCAACTTGGAAATCCAACACCTGGGTTTCAAAATCATTGTCCTCAAGCGAGAACTATAATTGAAGAATTTATTGACGAAATAACACCACCATTAACTCAAGTACCAGTAAATGAAAATGAACAATTTTGCCAAAGTTCAATTGAACCTCAAGTTTACGAATCTATTATAACTCAAAAGTTATTTGACAAGCAAAATTCGTTATTAAATAGTTCTACACAGTGTGAAAATACTTTACTAACTAAAGAGCAAAACACTGAATTGGACATAATTAACTTGGACGCCGAAACAGTGCACAATTTGGGCTATGATTTAACGGAAGAATGGGATACAACTGAACATTTTAGCGAATCTTGGCTCACACAAATGGACTCTAATAAAATGCCAATCAAATTAATAAACGACAAAACTAGAAAAGTTAAAACATGGATGATTTATTCATCAAGTATCTTAGGTAATCGATATAAATGTTGGCTATGTAACAAATATGGAGACAAATTTTCAAATAGATATAGAACTGATATTTCAAAACCAACTGGACAAATAGTTCTTAATGATAAAGAACAAAACTATGAAAAAATAAGACAACATTATGGATTGGCATTTCACCAAAAAATTATTAAAAAACTAATGGATGAATCAAACGCTAAAATGCCTAAAACATATATTGACGTACAAAACGATATTGATAAAAAAAACCAAGAATACGCAGCCACAAGTAATATGTTCAGAACAGTATATACATTAGTACGATCAAATATTCCGTTTATAAGTATTGGACATTTGATTGATTTGCAAATTATTCACGGGGTAAATCTCGGAAATATATTGCATTCCCGTACGTCGGCACAACAAATGACAGTATCAATTGCATCTTATATGAAATCAAGAATTATAAATCATTTAAAAACTACAAATAATCCCATAAGTTTATTGGTAGATTCTGGTGAATCAGGTTATCACTATCTATCAATTATGTTCCAAACATTAGAAAACAATCGCCCAATTATTTATTTCTATTCATTAAACAAAATTGAAGATTCAACAGGTATTGGATTGTATAATATTATTATTGGTCAGTTTAGACAAGATGGAATTTTAGATTTGTTAACACGAAATTTATACGGTATTTCAACGGATGGGTAATAATATTTTATTTTAATTTCAATATTAAAGAATATTTATTTAATAACAATACATTTACAGGGCAGCGAATATGGTTGGAAAAAATATAGGGTTAGTTACACTTCTTGAAAAATATTTTGCCGAAAGACCGATATTTAAACAGCATTGTTTTGCACACAGGCAGGTTTACAATTAGTATTGTTGTCACCATGTAATATATATTATTTAATTACAGACTTCAATTAGCTTTGACACACGCAACTGAAGATGCAACTTATTTTAACAATTTCGAGACTGTTATTAATGATTTATACAAATTTTTTCAACAACGAGGCTACAAAACCTTACAAGCATTGGAAGATATTGCCATCGACATTGGCGATAAAGTCTATAAATTCAATTATATTTATAAGGTAACGATAATTTATACGTAAGACATATCAAAATTGTTGTTTAAATTTAGATTCGTTGGCTGGCATCTGAATACACTGCAATTATCAAAATCAGAGATATGTACAGTTTAATTACAATAGGTTTAACAGATATTATCGCTGACAAGAAATATGATGAAAAAACAAGAATTAAAGCAACTGAGATTAACAATAAAATACGCGATAAAAATTTTGTTATATTACTTCATTATATAATCGATGTGTTGAATGAATTGAAAAAATACTCACTCATCTTTCAAGAAAAGGATGGTCTTATTATTGGTAAATTTCAAACGATTAAGAGACTTAACGAATCAATAAGTATGATGAATAAAAATAATGGAGCTTATTTAAATGGATTTTTAAATGAAGCCACATGTTCGCTTGCAAGCGGTGTAAAAGTAAAGTGTAGAAACGAAAATATTGACACGTTAGATGTTGTTTGGAGAGGTACGGGAATTAGATCTGAAGGCAAATTTCCCACATTAACTTCTATTAGAAAAGATTTTGTAAAAAATCTTACAAAAGAATTGAATAATTATTTTCCGGACTCTGAATTAATAAAGGCAATGGATATATTGGACCCAAATAATTTTCCAAGCGATTCATCTGAATTTGAAATATACGGCAAAAAAGAAATTGCTATTATAGCTGACTATTTTAAACTTGATAAAAATTCAGTTTTATTGGAATGGCCAATATTTTTAAATCTAATTTTTGATACTGAAATGATTTGGTGCCAAACTAAAACACTTCGCGTTAACAAATTTTACGGAAACATAATGAAAATACCAAATATTCCATCTAACATCAAGAAGTTTCTTCAAATATCTTTATCTCTCCCAATAGGTATTATGAGATATATTATCACTATTAATTTTAACAATTAATCTGTTACTAAAGGAACTGCTAATGTTGAGAGGTCATTTTCCATATTAAAACATATTCACTCAGATAGGCGATATAATCTTTCTCCTATTACTTTAAATGCATTGATGATTATTCGTAATAATGGGCACACCGATATCAAAAAATTTAATGCTTTTGCGTGCGCTAAATATTGGCATGATGTTGAAAAAAGACAATTTGTTGATCAAAAAGGAGCAAAAGGCAAAAGAAAACGAACAGAAGATCCAGACATTATTAACAATTATGAATATTTCGTCGAAAGTAACTTGTTTTAAAATATTTATAAATTATATATAACATTATGTTTATTCTGATATATGTATTAACTTTAAAATATATAATATCTTGTCAATTACTATTGTTTTAATATATATTGTCAGTTAATTGCATTAATATATTGTATTAGAATATTAGTATTAATTTAATTAAGATATTTACTCACTAACATGTTAAATGTATCAATAAATATGTTTACAAAATACATTGTTGTAAATTACAGTTTTTATACATTACAATATTATGCTGTTATAGTTTGTATAGCTGTTGTAAAAATATTTGAATGTAATTAGCCGATAATACAGCACTACTGTAGTATACCCAGACATTAGTTATAGTGCATTGTCAATGCTAACGGTAAATATTTCATTAAACTTTCGCCCTGGGTTTAAATCACTGGACAAATATGTAACAACAATTTATATTCATATATATGAGTCACTAATATTTTTTTCTTTTCAGAAATTCTTATATTTTAATGTATAATTAATAATTATAATTATTAATTATTATATGTGTGCAATTAATCTATTTATTTCAAACATTTATGTTATAACTTATTACATCTTTGGCTGTTTGTCAATACAACCTGTTTCACTGGACAAAATAGGTTTCCGATGCAGAACGAGGGTTAAAGCTGTGCAATAACTGTGGAAAGTAGGCGTTTCGTTACAGAGTAAAAACATCTTTGCACCATATTCTCGATGAGAGGGGAGACTGGCGTTTGTCTCACCACTTGTGCTCAACTCTATCCATAATGATTGCATGTTTTGTACATTAAATGATCATTTTATATCGATATTGGATACCAATCACAGGTATGTAACCATCATTTGATGTCCCAGAATGTGAATTGTGGTGAATTAGTGGCAGTGGTGTGCGAGCGATGCCTCCCTCTGCCCAACCATGTATTGGTTGCGGTCCTAACCATAACAAGTGCTTCCCTAACACTCCAGACATCGACAATAGATTCTCCCTTTGCTTCACATCTCATCCCTCTCTCACTCACTCTCCCATCCTTTTGACAGATACTAAACCCAACCGTCCGTTCAATACATACCATAACAACACTAACCATCGCTTTGAGACACTCTTACTGTTAACACCGATTTGACAATCATTTCACATAAAACATATCAATAGTCAATACAATTTCATTTGTGGCCCAAATATATGCAACTTTTTTATGTTGATTTATTTTTTCCGACATTTTTATGGCAAATATTTTGTTAATTAACTTATAATTAATTTTGTTTACTATTAATTGAAAGTTGTCTCCCATTCCGTGTCTAATCAGATAATGAATGCATTGTTTTGTTAAACAAATTAACAGCGATTTAAAAAACTTCAAAATAGACTTTAAATGATTTTTCACACACAAAGAAACAATAAATATGTAATTGAAAAGCACAGGTAATGGGTTTTAAATGACACTGGCACATTACATTGTATGATCATGGCCTTATCATGGTCTTTATAGTGTACAAAAGTCCGTAATAACAATAATAGTTAACATTTTAATGTCGATAATGGCCTGAAAGACAACAGGAGTGTCAATGTCTTGAAGGCATAACTTATATGATTAGCAGTTATGGCATATATTTGGCACTTATTGTCCTCATTATTACACAATATCTTAATTGCATTTTAATTATAATATTTGCAACTTTTTTATTGCAAATTACTCTACATTTACAACACATTATACATGTATAATAAATGGGAAACTTTTTGATTATTATAAAGCAATTTATGAAATATTTGTTTTTAAATCATATTTATTGTTAAATATTGCAAAACTTTGCCAAAAGCTTGCATTAGTTTTGAGTTGATTTAGGGCTCAGATTAATGATAATGTTTGGTATGTTTAGCATAAATGATGTCCTCATCGCCGACCCCCTCGTCGTCGGGCGCTCTTCATGAGGAGGCCATGTATGCCACGGACGAGGTATTAGATGATCATTGAATGTCATATTGAATAGCATATCGTGTATTCTTGGGCCTTAACTAATCCATACACTGACCATAGATGACATCGACCTCCAGTTCTGGTCAATATATGCATCACTTGACATCAAATACAGTCGACCAGAACGTGGTTTCGTCGACACAACACAATCAAAGCCATAACCATAATAGTCATCAACAGGTTTTACAATCAGTTATGGCTAAAGAGTGCAATGATTTAATACAGTGTTTGTTTTAGCAGCCATTCAAACATATGTTGGCCCAGAAATATGCGGCCGAATCGACGTCCGAACAGTCATCGGCCGGCAGTTCATCGGAAACGGGACAACAATTGCACCACAATTTGCAACAGTTTTACGCGTATTCGCCGCTCGTTAGCAGTAGTTGTAGTGGACATCACTTCGAGGCCAATATGTTGGACACGAATAACGTGCAGAACGATGTCATTCACGTCGAGTCGACCAGTGGTCAGCTGGACAGCGAAGACTCGCAGCTCATGCAAAACAGTGTATTTCACGACAACGTGATCGAGAGTCTTATCAAACAAGAGCAACAGCAACAGCAGACCTCAACGTTAGTAACTTCTACCTCGACGGCCAATATGTGTCGACAGGACATGATATTTGACTGCAATAGCGAAGCGGTTGACTCGACGACCAGCGCTGGACACCAAATGAGTTACATTCAGCCGATGCACACATATCAGGAACAGTCTATCGATAAGATAGCCATTCAGTCATTAGTATCGATGCAAACAGATTCTCATCAATTAATGCAAACTCATTATTTGCATCAAAACGCAGACAATTCAATGCCTATATTACAGCCACAGACTGTTGAACAATGCGTTCAGCAGCCGATGGAGGAGGCGGTGGTCGCTCAGCACAACCCCAACCCATTGCCCATTGAGATGGATATACCTCAGGAACATGTCATCAATGATCTCCCAGTTCTTAGTAGAGCCAGAGCTTCACTGCCCGCTGAATACCTATACATCGAAGAGCCGGACAATTCTGCCACCGTTTTCGGTGTGTTCGCCAAAAAGACAATACCGAAGAGGACTCAATTCGGTCCCGTCGAGGGTGTCATTGTTGGACACAATCACTCCAATGTTCACAACTTAAACCACAACCTAATGATCTTCATAACAGAGGATTTGATTTTAGATCAAAGTGA